GAGTTTTGGATTGAAGAGATCTCAAAGAGCAAAAAAGAAAAACAAACAAATAGGAAATAAACTTAGATTTCAATATTCAAAATCTCCTCTGCCAACGACAGACTACGAATATAGGAAAATAGCAGAGGGGACGTATGTCAAATGCTGGACCCAAAAGATAACCACTAATAGTAGTAATGGACATATGTCCTTGATTTACTAGCTAGCCCTTCCTAGGACTGAAAATAGTAATTATCTAACTTAGTGGCTAAAGTGTTACCCTTCTATACTATCTGGTATTTTATAATTAGGTCCTAAGTGAATAGTCACCACCAAATTCGTGACATAATTAATTTCTTTTTTCTAAAGTTGTCTTTGGAGTAAAGAGAATTAGAATATATATTAAATTTTCAATGAACGAATTAAAAAAATAAAATAAATGTTAGTATAGTTAATTTTATTGTTAATTAATGTTAAAATATAAATTCTTTAATATGTGTGAAAACAGCCAAAAAATTAATTAAAATAGACCGGAAAAAATAATAATAGTACACAAGCAAATAATTTAGGCTAGCGACACTAACTAGTTGATTGATCAATTGGGAGCGAACCTGAATACAATGTTCCCATTAACTGGCTTTGGAAATGAAAACCTTAAAAATATCAAAATAAACAAAGAAAAAGAAATAAAATACCAAACACAACAGTTGGAACCTCACCAAAAGCCCACAAAGGTCAAAAGCTAACAAACGGACTTGCCTCCCAATTCTTACCGTTAGGACTCAGAATCAAAAGCCCAACGGGCCCAAATTCCGCCGCTAAAATAATCAAATGCCGAAAAAGATAAATGTCTCCTCCAACGGCTCTTTCCTCCTTACATCTTATTCAAATCGCACCAGAATCTTGTTCATACCCTCCTCCCCTGCCAATCAAAGAACCAACAAAAATACTGCAAAAATTTGTATTATTTGATAATTCTCAAGCTTCAACAATGGATACAACTCCTCCATCTCATCGATCCCAGCCACGAAGCCGAACAAATCCAGCATCAAGACTCTCAAAACTCCGCCGATATGATGAAGAAAACGAATCCCTTACACCAAGAATCTCTCTTGAAATAGTCCCTTCACCGAGATTACTAGCTTCTCCAACTATGTCACCTAATAAGCCTCCTTATAGTAATAATCTCCCGCTTCACGAGCTGCTACTTCTTTCGCCTTCTCCTTCTCCTCTTCGAAAATCCAGGACTCGTCTTGCTGATAAGCTTGAATTGGCTGATGATGCTGTTGAGCCTAATGGGGTTCGTAGAAGACGAAGGAGTAGAAATTCAGCAGTTGGTGCTTCGCCACGCAATAATCGAAGATCAAGAAGAAGGTTAGAGCAAGAAATGAGAGAAGATAGAGATTTGGGTTTAGTTGAGGAAGTGGTTAAACCAAGAAAGAAGAGGAATAGTGGTAAATCCAAGAAAGATAAACTTAGCTTGGTTCCTTCAAATTCAACTAGTATGTCTCAGATTATTCTAATCTTTACTTTTTAACCCCATAATTCATTTCTTGTGCTTAATGGTTTTTTTTTTTGGTTAATAGAAGCAAAAGAAGGAGAAGGGAGTGATTTAATAAACAGAATTGAGCTGCTGTTAAGTGATTTGGTGATGTGGAGGGATGTGGCAAGGTCAAGCCTCTGGTTTGGTTTAGGGTCTCTCTGTTTCTTATCTTCTTGTTTTGCAAAAGGAGTTACTTTTAGGTATATTTCCTTCTCTTATTTATATCCCACTTTTTATTTTTAATAAGAAGAGATTTCCATTTGACATTTTTTTTGTTTATTCTTGATTTCAGCATTTTTTCTATCATGTCTCAATTGGGATTACTGTTTTTAGTTGTTTCATTCTTCTCACATTCCATTCGCCAAAGGTAAAAATTTAAATTCTTTACAACTAGTAAGTTATGTATATGCTTCTGAATAATGCACTATTGTTCTGAATGGTTCATTAAAATACTAAAATCCAGAGATGGTTCAGAAGTAAAGAGTGAATTTCAGCTGACTGAAGATGACATTTTGAGAATGGGAAGATTGATACTTCCAGCTGCAAATCTTGCAATTTCGAAAACACGAGAGCTTTTTTCAGGAGAACCTGCTATGACCCTCAAAGTATGTTATTTTATTCTCCTACTCTCAAGTTCATAAGATTCCATTTTAGTACTAGCTTATCTCTCATAAATAGTTGTAATTGATTGTTGAAATGTACCTATGGTTTTAGTTAGTCCCAGTCCTGCTAATTGGAGCTGAATATGGCCATTTGATAACTGTATGGAGGCTCTGTGCTATTGGTAAGATCACTCAATTCTCCTAAACAGACATTATTGGTATTACATTATATCAAGAAAATCTCAATATAATTGACACTAAATACTCGTGGGCGTGTTCAATCTTGACAGGGTTTTTCATCAGTTTTACTGCCCCAAAACTATACTCTTGTTATTCTTCTCAGATATCTAATAAAGGTAAATACGTGCTTCGGTATTATGAATGATTATTTCCTAATGATGGTTGCTTCAACTTTTTGTGTCTAATTGAATAAAAGTGCATATTATGTTGAAGCAGCCAACTATATGAAATGTTGGATGATGGAGACATGGGGAGCTTGCTCTCACAAGAAAATGATAGCTGCATCAGTATTGACTGCATTTTGGAACCTGACCACTGTCAGAACACGAATCTTCACAGGTTATTCGCGAACCAATTCATTCAATATTGTTGTATTTGATTGATCTTTTCTCTAAGCCTAAGCATCTTCTAACAAAAATGTAGTTACATTGGATTTAGATTTCAGACTGAACTAAAAGTTTATTTTTTGGTCCTTGGCAGCATTTATATGTCTAGTAATATTCAGATACTGTAGACAACATGTAGAGGCAAAGGTCGAAGAAGAAGTGGTCGAAGAAGAAGAGGTCGAAGTGGAAGAAGAGGAGCAGCAGCAGGCATTGGTTGTGTTGGAAACAACCTGTCAAAAAGGGGGCATAATATGTCAATGAATCACTGCTAATACTAGGGAGTGCTAAGCTACTAACAATAACTCCTCTTGTTATTTCCCATTCTATCTAGGAGGAAGAAAATATTGTTGCATTTCCTGGTTTTTTGTATATCCAATCAAAGCCAAGGAAGAAGAGCTCTACTGTTCTCCTGGAAATAAGTTCTTTATTTTTCCACTATTTTACTTATTTACTTTTTGAAGGGAATACACAAGATTTGCGCACATTGGAGAAAGTGCTCTATTAGTGACATTGGTTGACCACTCTTCTCAGTTTTTGGATGCACTCTAGCTTTAAGTAGATTACTCCATTGTGTTGTGACTGTTGTCTTCTCATCCCCTCTCTGCTCTTCTCTGCTCCCCGTCAGTAACGGAGGGTCACGAGAGAGCAGATCATACTGCCTTGCCATAGTCACAGAGTCTATTTATATTCGCAACTGATGTCATAGTCAACAAGGTTGAAACTTCCAAACTTCGAATTGGGAGGGCGATCCTCCCCGTGAACGAATGACAACTTGTGGCTTTAATACAACTTGCTAAACTATTGCATTTATTTAGCTCTCCTCTTGAAGAACTTTACAATTGAACCTTAGAGGTATAAAGTTTGATTCTCGCCACACACCCTTGACCCTTCTCTTCACTGTCACCATTTTTGACGTCCAACACACCCCAAAAGTTCAAGGTAATGATTCCCCATATAATTTAAATGATTCAAGGTAAAGTTATACTGACATAGTGACATGTTATGAAAAGGAAATGGTGATAGAATGTTATGAAAAGGAAAAGGTAAAAAGAAAAAAGAGAGGGAGAGAGAGAGGGCACACACGCCTCTGACCAAACCTGTTTTAACAAAAAAAAAAAAAAAAAAAAAAAAAAAAAAAAAAAAAAAAAACAATGAAATCGCACAAGTAGGATGTGGGGAGGTAAATTGTACGCATACTTTACCCCTACCTTATGAAGGTAGAGTGGCAACCAAACCTGTTTTAGGACTAGTGAAATTTGGAAAGAAGAAAAAACCAAAACGGAGGATTAATAACAACGAATTTCATTCGCATGTTTTGAATGTAAATGATTTCGATATTCATTGAAATTTTTTGATACCGATCTACTTTTATCAGGTGTTATAGTATATAGTATAAAAGCTTGAACAACCTAGAATAGTGTCTTTGATTTGATACCAGAAACAGAACTCGAAACTGTTATTTTGTGTAACTCCTACTTACTATTTGTAATCTAGAGGTGTTTCGTAATTTCAAATCTTTATTGTATTCAATTAACCCCAACTAATTAATACTCCATCTATCCTAATTTTATAAGGCTCACTTTTCTTTTTAGTCTATCCACAAAAAAGTGACACTTTACTATATTAAGAAATAATTTTACTTTAAAATTTTCGGTTTACAATTTATGAAATAGTTTATAGTCACACATATTTACAAATTATTTTCAATCAATATTTTTAATTAACCTCGGTGCTTAATTTAAATAAAACCCTATAAGTTGGGACATGGAAGTGTACTTTTTATTTAGCACAAATATCTAATATGCTCAGTGACTAGTTATAAACCCTCCTGTCCGTTTTAAGTGATTTTTTTGCCTTTTCAAATATTGGGTGGTCCACAATATTTGATTTTTTCAGATATAAAAAAAGAATTAACTTTTTCTTTCCAAAGTTGTTCTTGGAGTAAAGAACTTAGGAGTAGTTTGTTATATTTTCAGTGAGTAAATTAATGTTAATATGGTCGATTTTATTATTAATTGATGCTAAAAGGTAAATTTCTTAATATATATGAAAAGAGCCAAAAAAAATTAATTAAAGTGGACGGGAGGGAGTACTTACATATATTTTGACAGCAAGCAGCAAGCAGTATTTTGACAGCAAGCAGTAGTGCAATACATCCTCCTTACCTAAATCATTTTTTGGCATTATTTCCGTACCAATCATTTTCCCGTCTACTATTGTCCAATAATTAATTAATTTTTTTACGCTACGACGTGGAACCAAGTCAACAGAACAGGCCCACTTCAAAGACCCTAAAAATCGTTTGTTTTTCTTCATACACCACCGTTTTGTTCTTATTCCAGAAATTCTGAAATTAGGGTTTAAGGATTTTTGCTTTCGTATCAAAAATGGCAACAGCGGCGGCACCGAGTACGGCAGCTACTACGGAGAAGAAGAAGCCAGTTTTTGTGAAAGTGGATAGCTTAAAGCCAGGGACACATGGACACAACTTGACGGTTAAGGTTGTTCAATCGAATACCGTCAAAGCCACTGGCGGCGCCAATCGAGGCGGCAGATCATCGGCGTCGCTAAATCCTCGTGGTCCGGCTCGTCTCGCCGAGTGCCTTGTCGGTGATGATACCGGTTCCATCCTCTTCACCGCCCGTAATGAACAGGGTATGTACAAAATAATCTCTCATTTCCGGAAATGGAATTTTGCTTTATATTAGTAATTGTTAGCTTACGTTTTTAGTTGATCTTAATTTAAAAAATTGTCGGTTTGGTGCACCTATTTAGTGACTAGTGTAATGGTAACTTACACGGCAAACAGTAAGAGAAATGGAGGTTATGATTGTTTGAGCATACCTGGAAATGAAACTTTGTCTCTTTAATATATTTTTGAAGGATTTGAACAATTTAGAGAAATCGAATGACGAAGATGTGCATTTGCATGTTATGAAGGATTTTTCAGTATTGATTAAACATGTCAATCTGGTGTCTTGTTTATAATGAGCTGAGGATTCTGTAATTGGGAAATCTAGCTTGTGTCCTAATCCCGATTTCTTTCTGGACCTCTAAAGAATAAGCTCGTTTTTTATCTGTACGTTTTCATTAGGAGTGGCAAACGGGCGGGTCGGGTCGGGTCGGATATGGTTCGTGTCGAAAATGGGTAATAAAAAAACGGATCAATTATCCGACCCGACCCATATTTAATATGGATAAAAAATGGGTTAACTGGCGGATAATATGGGTAACCATGACTTCTTTTATATGATCACTTTTGGGAGAATTTTTAGCCTCCCTAACTTGAGGAACCCCCAATTTGAGGCTTTACAAATGTAAAAGTTAGATTCATTGGTTATCCATTTTCTAAATGGATAATATGGCTCTTATCCATATTTGACCCGTTTTTAAAAAGTTCATTATCCAACCCATTTTTAGTGGATAATATGGGTGGTTAACTGTTTTGTTTTAACCATTTTGCCACCCCTAATTTTCATAGAGTATCATGATTAGATGAAGAGGATGCTGTGATTTTATATGTTCGGAAACATTGTGCTTTATTGACCTGTTCAGCTCATCTTGATAGGAAGCTATGAGGTGGAATGAGAACATCTACTTTAAAGCATTTCCATTCCCCTATATGGAAAGTCCACTTTCTCTATGATTAATATGCACCTCCCTCCCTTTGTTGAGCTTTCCGTTTAATGGATAGGAATGCATTTCTTTATCTGAACTCGTTTGACTATCCTTCTAGCCTTTAGTAAATAACGTATTGGTTTGGTTTGAACAGAGCTGAAACAGTTTAATCTTACCCCAGCCAAGAACCCCCTTGCTCAGGAGTCAGCAGTGGCCTTTTCCCTCTTTGATCCTGTTGCGACTCCCCCAACCTCTTTGTTGGAGGTTAAGGTCCCTTCCATTAGGCTATCCCCCCTTTGTCAACGTATTAGCTATATTAACAACTCTCTTTTAAGATAGAAAATACTTAAAATACTGGAACATTTTCTTTTCATGGAGAAATACTGCTTGGTGTCATGACCCGCCACACCATCATGCCACATAGGTGCCACTTGACATATATTTTTGCCATATGGAATGGTTACATACGTTAGGGACTAGATCTTGGTGGAATATTTCCTTGGAAATGTTCTAGATATTTATGCACTTGTAGGAAGGTTCTAGAGAAATATAGAGG